AACATATTTAAAGCATTTATTTTCAAATTATTAAGTGAAAAAATTTTTCGGTTTTGTGTCGATGGTTACACAAATTACGAATTGAAGAAATTTAAAGTTTATTGGTGAAAGTTTGACTTTTTTAAGAGCTATTTTTGATACTTTAATAAAATAAAGCAAATGTCAAAGTTTTTTCATTAAAAATTTCAATCTATTCGATTAAAAATTGGTGGATATTCCTATATTGGAAATGCAGATTTAAGGGGTGGTCCGATTGGTACATGGATTACTAATTAATAATAATATAGTATGTAATATTAAATGGATTAATTTGAGTGTTTATCTCTTAACATTCAAATGATTAGTTTTCAAGGTACAAACTAAGTAATACAGAATTTTGGCTTTAAACGTTACGCTGATATCTTCAAAAACTAAATTACTATCATGTAGTGTTTATTGAAGAATTTAAATTAATAAAGTCATCCAATTTGGAGATTTCGATAATTTAATGACTTTATTTTAATGTTGCTTAAAATATTTAAATATGAAATGTAATTGTTGATAACAGATAAAAAAATTAATAACGTTACTATATATACCATGGTATGTTGATATGGTGCTAAAAAAAGGAACTTTAATTTGATATAATCCTCCCGCTCTTTGGTTAAGAAAAGAAAACTTACTTTCTATAATCCATCAATTCGTATACAGTATGATGGAAAATAATATATTTTGAACAATTTTGGTCGATAAAATTTTTGTAGCGTTTAAAGTACACTGTCAAAAATCTACTTTCACTTTACAATAGGATTTATGAACCGAATAAATTATCAGTTAAAAAAAAAAAAAATATTCTAATTTTATATCAAGTATTAAAAAGATACAATTTTGAGAATTATATCTACCAAGAATATCCTTTTACTTTAGTAGTACGCAAAGTTTAAATCTGCTAACCTTTATTAACTTGTTAGACTAATATCCAACCTAAATTTTCTTTTTGTTCGATTTGTATTTAATGGATTTTGTTATATATTATTGTAAGCCAACGCTTATTTTGGTTTCGCCACCAATAATTTCATAAGTTGGAATTTCCAAGTAACCTAAAACCTTGTTCACAATATTTTCTTATTCATAGTTTCAGATTGTGAGTAATATATTTTAATTTGTTTCAGTTATTCTAAATTAACAGCTTAATTCTTACTGATCTTGATTACATAAAAATCACGTTAATTTGCAACCAATTTTAAAATTTTAAAATTTAAAGCACTTTATTAGATTAATTTCTTTATGAGTTGAAGTTGAATTGATACGATGAAATGAATATAAAAAATTAGTGTTTATTTATTGTATTTATATATATATATATACAGTATATATATATTTTTTATTTTATTTTTTATCAAATAAGTGGTTACTGATTATATCACTAAAACTTTTCATAGGAGAAAGATTTCAAAGGTGTTCAAAAATATGAGCATTAAATATATTACAAAGTTACAGAACTATGGAATTATTTCAATAATATTTTAATCTTATATAAAATATGAATAGTACGTTCCTTCCAATTAAAAATCTTCATAGTTCATTGTATCGATTTCTTATATATGACAAACGAAATTATTATATCTCAAACGAAATTATCGCTTTATGATGTGAAATACATAATCTTTTATAGAAAAATCAGTATCTCTTAGTCTTATTTCATAATATTCCATTTTACAGTAAATTATATTATAATCTAGTAATTTGACCTTTAGAACTTCACAAAACAATATCTCTTCCAAAGTATAGACATAACCAGAGATATAATTCAATGCATGATCTGTACTTTTAACATTACTTATAACTAAATTTTGCGATATAGTGACTTTATGTAAGATAAATAGTAAACTTATGAAACTTACGAAAGCAAGTTAAAATATGCAGGTATTATCATTAAATAAGGTTCTAACTTCTAATAGCTTGTTTACTTAAAACTTTGTTTTGATCCGATTGTTACAAGTTAAATTAATCACAATCATGCGAAAAAAAAATAGTAAAAAATCAAAACAATAATATGGAAAAAAATTGGTAAAAAAAGGACTAATATGAAAATAACTGTATTATTAAATAATTCAATAAGTATTATTAATTAAACAATTACAACAATTAAAAAACAATTTACAAAATAGGTCTGCTAATTTTAACTGGGGTTAAAATTACTGTAGGCCGGTGTTACCAGTGATTTCACCAGTGATACAGTTACTGAAATCACCAAAATTACTTAATGTTGGTCGGATATTTGTAATGTTTTTATAATTTACCAATAGCTTCAGCCCGCGTACGCACTGCACTTTAATTATTAAAGACAATACTGCTTTGGATTTAAACAACTAAAAAGGAACAACTAAAAAAGCAAAAAAATACAAATATAAGGAAATCAAAGCTTTTATTAAAAGCAATACCAAATTGAATTGGTACTCTTTATTCATTTAGTACAGGTCAAGTTTTACTATAATGTCCATACTCTTTACAATTTTTAACCTGTCTTGATTTATGATTATCCAATGTTTCTCATTTTAATTTCTTCTATTTTACCCACATTCCTATTACCAGATATATCTGAAAGTGGCTTATGTTTTAATCTTGATTGTGCTATTTCTAAAGAACTTATACTGATTTGGTGGCCTTCCTCTTTGGGTAAAAACAATCAGATTAGCAATTAGATCTTTTAAACTCAGCTGTGAAACATTTGACAAATTTTTGTATTAATAAAATTGTTTAACATTCCACATAATTCATTATATGCATTAGTTTTTAATGTAGTATCAACTCCTTTTTTACATAAACCCGTCCCTTTTATATATATAAGTATCATTACTTTTATTTACTATCTTCATGATAAATTAGATATTTTTTTGTAATAAAAATTTCAGATAAGTCTCTGCTACAAACAATTTATTAGTATGATGTATATATCATATATAGTAATCATATGTAAAAATTTAATAAAAAATATTGGTGTAACTATGAGTAATATTGAAAAACATAAAAAGATTATCATTTAACTTATGAGTCATTAATAAAAAAATATTGGTGTAATTATGAGTAATAATGAAAAACATAGAAAGATTATCATTTAACTGTGAGTCATTTTTAATTGTAAGTTACAATATTAATAAAAGTGATGCAGTATTGACTCATAATTATTGAAAATAAGTATGAGCAAATTTTTTTTTTAATATAAAGACCTGTAATTAATTGCCAAATTTTTTTTTGTGATTTTTTTTTTTTTTCAAAATATTTTTTTTTTCCAAAATCCAAAATTTTTTTTGCAATAATATTTTTTATTTTAATTTTTTTCAATAATATTTTATTTTTGTAATTCAATTTTTTTTGCAATGATATTTTTATAATTCAAAATTAATAACTTTTGCAATAATTTTTTTCATATTATATCATACAAGGATCTTTACACCCTGATATCATTGGAGAGCTAATCTATGAGTAAAAGTGATATTTAAGAAATAAGGAGAGATATTAATTAAGATATCCATATAAAGGAATGGAACTTTCAATGGGAACTATAGTCAGTTGGTCACCAGTTGGGACAAAACTGGACCAAGATGGGAACTGTATGGCCAATGTTTGATATACAATCATAATCAATATTCAGAATTTATTGCCAAAAACAACTTAAAAATAATAAAGGCTTGACCATGATGATGAAGAAATCATTTACAAGGAGAAGTCAGAAAGATTTTTAAGATTATGGTATGCTTGATGGAACTGCTGTTTCAATTTCAAAAATGGAACTTAGGGCTTGAATATGATGATATGAGCAAGAAACATGACACTTTCATTTAAATTCCAAGGGGCATCATGCCATCATAGTTGCTGTTGATTCATATACTTCTGCTGAAAGTTTCATTGCTACACAAAACTGTTAGAAAGGTTATCAAAATCAATGCCTATCTTTAGAAACAATGGTCAGTAGTACTGCTGATGTATATTCTGGAAGAGAGAATTCAGAAGACATTGCAGATTACTGTATGAATTGAGAAATAAAGAACAAATTTCTGTAGCAACAGCTTCAAAATTATTGGCAAACATAGTTTATACATATAAAGGAATAGAACTTTCAATGGGAACTATGGTTGCCAGTTGGGATAAAACTGAACCAAATATTTTTTATATAGATTCAGATGGGAAACATCAGTTGGTTCTGGATCTCCATTTGCTTATGAAGTTGTAGATAGTGGATTTGATTCTGATTTAACTGTTCAAAAAGCTATTGAACTTGGAAAACATTCAATTTATTATGCTGCCATAGGGATTCTGCATCTGGTGGTTCTATTAATGTATATCATGTAAAACAAGATGGATGGGAATTTATAGGAAATTATGATATTGGTGATTTACATTGGAAATATCAAGATCAACTTAAACCAAATCTTATTGGAGATATACAGCCAATGTTTAATATACAATCATAATCAATATTCAGAACTTATTATACAGTTAAGAATCATTATCAGTTAGAATAACAATAATGTTAATTTTTTTTTTTTTTACTTCTAAAATATATTATACAGTATATTTCCTTTTATTTTAATAAAGAATATTGAAAATAAAGTAAAAAAAAAATTTTAAATGAGATTATGACTAATGGAATTGCTGTTTCAATCTCTTTTTTGCAAGAATGAATCTTAGGGTATGATAACATGAGCAAGAAAGATTTTTGAGATTATGGTATGCCTGATGGAAGTGCTGTTTTGATCCTTTTTTTGCAAGAATGGAACTTAGGGATCAAATAGAAATTATTCACAAAAAGAAGATTGATGGTTGTACATTCTCTGTAGTCTGTACTAAGAAGAAGTTGGTCAAATAAAAGATATACTGTAGTTTTTACCAAATAATATTTTTTCTCTTTGATTAATATAATGAAGTAATTCACAAAACCAATTTTTACATTGCCTTAAAGATATAAATATCAAGTTATCCAATATGGGGACAGTCACTAAAAGCAATGAAGTAATTTATTATGAATATATTTCAGTAATTCTTCATGCATGTGTACACATTACTAAAAACTCACTGGAAAATATATAACACTAAACCCAAGATCAAATTAATGTTAATAAATATTATTTTTATTTTGTAGATTTTACAAGAATCGAATTTTACCAAATCTCAATATTAATTTCTAATTATTTTTATTTATTTTTACTATATTTAAAGTATTAAATTTTAATAAAACAAATATATTTTGAATATTTTTCATTTCAAATAATTTGCGTCTAATTTTTCATAAAAATAAATTATAAAGAAAATTCTAACGTTTGTCGGTATCACGGCAAAAATCGTCCGGATCGCACGTATGATTTTCGCGTAACACCAGAAATCGTAAAAAATCGAAAATGTGTCTGGTTAGGACCATAGAAAGGTCAGTCCTGGTTATTTACTTAGAATGAGCCAAAATCATGTAGATCGCTTCCATTTGTGGATAATTCCGACTAGCATTACATAGTGCCGGCCTGAAGAAATGCGTAGAGCTAATAGTAAATGTGAGCCGATCTCCCCTGACCTACATATATAACTCGAGGTCTTGTCTGGTTCCATTTTGGGGTCAAATAAAAAAAAAATTAAAATTAACCGATATAACGAAACGATTGGTGCTGATCACATCCTTGTAAGATTTAGTCCGAAGGACTAATGATCTTCCGGCACATGACAATGTGCGTTTCCTAGTAATGGTCATCGACATAAAAATAATCCGTTTTTTTTTATTTTATTAAACGGATTATATTATATATGAATTTAAACAATATCATACCTTTGAAATTATAACAAACAAAATACGGAAACTACGTAGTAAATAATACATGAGATAGGAAAAGACAAAATATAACAAAAAAAAAAATTAAAAGAATTCCTACTACAAATACTGTATAAGTATTTAAATTAGTAGTACAATTGAAAGGACTGAGAAATCATACCCACTTTGAAGGGAGAGTATTTTATGATATATTTTAATCACGTTTGTTAAATTCCTTTATAATTTATATAAGGGTTTAAAATTTGTGCGCACCTGCGCATGTGCGCACCCCCATGGATATATTATATATAAAAGTCAAAAATGACATTCTAAACCCTTCATGGCTCATTAAGTAAAGTTGTAGAATATGCAAAATTACGCATAGTAAATAAATTTTTAAGGCTCTATAATATGTACATGAGAGTTGCAGCATGAATATTTAAAAAAATCGGGATTTTACTAAAATCATGTGATAATTAATGATCGACAAATTTACTATATAAAAATTACCAAAAATGGAGGGGTGCGCACATGCGCGGGTGCGCACAAATTTTATTTCCTTTATAAGTTGTTTTTTATCATAGTATTCTTTATATAGTATACTCGCTTTATAACGAAGTTGGTGGTTTAGCCAATCAAAACCTTCGTTATAAGAAAAATTCATTAATATGATGTGAAAATCTAGTATAACTCGGGAAAATTTGGTATACTGCGGTGAATTGTATAATATTTGCATATCACACAAAATTCGGTATTAAAAAAATTCGGTATAATAAGAGTCATTTATATATACGGTATACGATATTTAATTAGTAATCTTCAGTATAGCGAGATTTTTTGCATGATAAAATTGGTACAACACTGATAGGTTCGTTATATTAAGAAATTCGTTAATTCTTCCTTTTTTGTGGGACTGGAGTTTGGGACTAACGAGGTTTGCTTGAAATAAATAATTATATTTTTAGGAAAATAATAATAAATAAATTAAGTAGCTTTTGATTAGACATTTCTTTATTAATTTGTAAAAATAATTGAATACCAAGACAAAGACAAAATATTTGTGACCATAAAATCAACGTTAACGATACAAACAAGTATTTTACTTAGTATAATTAAATATTTACTAATAACATGTAGTTATGTAATATCTTATCAAGGCAGCGTATAGTAAATGCATAATGTTATAATTCGATCTTGAATTTAAGTTATGTATGAAATACAAATTTGCAAAGATACATTAATAATTAATTTCGCGAAAAAAAAAAAAAAAAAAAAAANAAAAAAAAAAAAAAAAAAAATATTTTTTATTTTTTATTTTTTTAAACTGTAACGCATCTTTATTCGGATGTATATTGAAAATAAGATCATAATCCATACTTAGAGCCGACCGTGCAAATCACGTGACAACCATATAACAGAGTATTTTAAGAACAAAAGACACATTACAAAAATATATATATAAATAAAATACTTACGCTCCTTCCCTACCAAAAATTTTGACCTAACTAATGCTAATAATAAAGTTAAAAGGATAAAAGTGCTAGCTAAGATATACATATGTAAAGAATATTTGAGTTAAACTACATTAATTCTCCTAATCTAGTCGATAGAGTTTCGATCCGTAGCGGTTTTATCCGGTTTTTATCCGGATACCGGCTCGGTTAATTTAGGCTGGGACCACCAAAATTAATAAAAATTTATGGAATAATATTATTTTAATTCTGGCCGAAATTATAGTCCACTCAAAGCCGAAATTTGTAACCTTTTTTAATCATAATCCCACGTTAAAATATTTGATGTTTTATCCGGATCGAAACACTACTAGTCGATAAGACAAATCTATCTCTACTAATATCTTAAAATTTAAAATTCTATCCTAAAAAATTTTTTAAATTTTTTTTTTATATTAAAACTTGTCAATAAGTATCGATAAATACAAATGTATATAATAATGCCCAATATTAAAAAAAAAAACCTAAACTAAAAATAAAAACTATACCACATCTAATTCCTATACGCTAAAATGAGTACATGTAGTCATGTAGTGTATGATTGGCTATGTATGTAGTGTACGGTTAAACATCACATACAAGCAAGTCACGTGATAATAAGGTGACAAAGCTGCGAACCACTCAAATGACGTGCATGTTATCGTAACACCTATGCTATTTCATGTATTTGAATTTGACGCCCTTATAACACAAATTCGGCATTCGCCATTCACAATCATAATCCCGAATGAAACTTAACACTCATTATTCAAATATTCATTGTCCTGATACTTAATAGTATTAATATAAATCGTTAGATTTTTTACAAAATTTTTACATATTATTAAAAATCATTGATTATGTAATAAAAAAACCAAACCATATTTTTGCGAAATTTGCGAAATATAAAATTAATAAAAAAGATAATGTTTCGGGATAAATGAGTGTTAGGATTCAGGAATAATTAAGTTTCGAGATTTTTTAAATTTTTAGGATGAACATCAGGTTTTGCGTTCTGATCGTCGAGATTTTGAATGGTTCCGGTTTATTTATGGGTTAAAATTGGTTAAAATTTTAACCATCCAATCTTTTATTGAATTCGGCTATTATAAAGTATCTTCGCTGGAACAAAGTAGTTATTAAGCGCACGGAATATTAGGTGGCGTATTACCATAAGGTTACAATTATACTACTTTATCTATTATCCGTTATGATAACTAACACGGTTAAATTTAAATTGGTATAAATGTTATAAATAGCTGGGATACACCAGTTACATTATGTGTAACGTAATTATTAATATGTTATATTGTCGATCATTTATTGAGGCAAGATTTATTAATTTGAACAAACAAACAAACGATTAACATCTTTAAATACTATATATGGTAATTATAATCATAAACGTTCGTTGCGTGCGTTTGATTCATAGATCATATTGGCTCTAAAGGTCGATCATATATTAAAGCAAGTTTTATTACATACAATATCTATGTAGTATTAACTAGTAGATCATATTTTTTAGATCATATCTGATATTTTTTCTATAAATATACGAAAAAAATGAGACTTGAGACTTATCTTTCATTTTTCGAAGTTTAATCTTATCTCCTAATATTTCACTCATTCTCTTACAACTGTCCTTTCCAAAATGTGGTTGAATAGAAGTTTATTAGGCTTTCTCTTCTTGACACTCTTTTATTTGTTGCCTGTAGTAACTGGACATTGCACTACCGTTACCAAAACACGGCATTATACTAAGACCATTCGCCCTACAAATTGCCCAAAGGCTACTACCACCACTACTACGTCTATAACTACAACTACGTCCACAACAACTACAGTCACAACTTCAACCGTCACAGTACTCCCAGCTATTGTAAAAAGAACGAATAACCGGGTTAAATGTATTCCTGATAAAAAAGTCTATCAATCTTCCAAATGTAGTAAATGTAAAAGGTGCAGGAATAAACATGACAAAAGGTGCAAAAAGAGGTATAACGAATGTAAAAAGTGCAAAGTTACCGTCTATTGTACTCCAACCGTTACCTTGCCATGTCAAAAGCCCAAAACTGTAACCACCACCGCTTTTGCAACCTCCACTGCAATTGCTACTACCACTATCACCAGTATATTCTCCACCAATACTCCCACTTGCAAACCTGTTTGTGCTCTACTTGATGCATGTAACCTTGATACCTTTCAAACTTGCTGTAATTTATGCTGCACTAGTATAGGTGGTGTCAGTAAATGTTGCAGCAGTGATGGTTTGGGTAGCCAATGTCCTAATGCTATCCACAAAAGATTAAAATCTTCTGATTCAGACCGTCCATATATGATTAAAGAGGGTAAAAAGACATTTTTGTAACATTATTACTGCTAAATATAAAGTAGCTTTTTAAATTGTTACGTACATTACATAGATATTGTACCAAATATAATACATATTTAATTTTTTTTGGTAAAATTATACATTTATAACTTATCAAATGTGATAGAATAGAGATATAAAACTAGTATACTATTATACAATGGCAAATTTAAATATATATTATATGTATTAGCTAATGTAATCTGATACTTAATTTTTAAAATAAATAATTAATTTTGATCGTTTAAAAAAAATTTTATGACGCAATAAATATAATCTTTATTTAAAATGCGTCTGGTTCTTGTGCTTATTATTCTTTTTCATGTTTATAATGGAATTATTTTATTAAAAATTATTATACTGCAATAATAGATGTAAGTAAACCTTGCAATAGTGTTCGTTGTTACATACACAAAAATGTATTAAAGCATCAGATCATAGATAAAGTCGTTAAAAAAACAGAATAAAGGAATAATGATGATAATAATTTTAATTTTTAATTTTATGCCCTGCTTATAAAGTTGTATGAAATGTATTCTTTTGAAGTTATAAATATGAAAAATGTATAATGTATTGATTATTCGTTATGTATCGACTAATGAATTTAAACAAATCATATTAAAATGAATAATTTAAATATTTAATTATAGGTTTTTTTAAATTTAGTAACGCATTTATTAATTAAGATCAATTATATTGATTACATAATTATGCAAAATACCTAGAAAATGACAAAATTAAAATCAAGTTATCCTCTATAACTAAACCCAGTCTATCCTAAAATCTATCTATATATTAAAGAACTATACTAATAATTATATAATTTAATTTAGTCCTATTACACTACGTTAATATAACTGTTTTATTACCGTACTACACGTGTTTTTAATTGATTTTCCTTTACTTATTAATCTATCTTTTGTTACTAAACGAATCATATTTTCCAATTTTTTTATTTTCGTTTGTTTTTTCAATTTTCTTAATTTTTTTATTTTATTCTACTTTCCCGTTATCCATCGCATTTTTACGCTTTCTTTTATCCTTTAAATTTATACCTTTATCCTTTTCTATTTTATTCACTTCTTCAAATTTTTAACCATATCTTTTTTCTAATATTCTCGTAAAAAATATTTAATTATAGGTAATATTTTAGGGGTGGGTACAGAAAAGTTTTACGTAACTAGTCGATCGGAAAATAATGATCGATTAACCGATCAAATTAACATATAAATTTTGCGTTTATAATAAATTTATTTATTTTATTTATTTCCACCTATTTTATCAATTTTAACCCGCCACAGTCCCGCACTTAAAAATCCCACATTTTATGATTTTTCGCGTACTATCACATGACATTTGCTGCGCCATAATTAATATATTTATTTCATAAATACCTAATTACAGAATTTATATATAGTGAAAAAAAAAAAAAATAGATACTGTATATATGGAATTTTGTAATGGAAAAAAAAATATTAATTATTTTTTTTTAAAAATTTAATAAATAAAAATTTATTAAACCACCTTATCGTCAGAGACAAAGTTATGCGGTTCAAACTTCCAACGTTCATAATGTCGAATTTCATTAATCGGTATAGCTTACGATAGATCTCTTTTCCATGGTGGATCTGTGTACCGCCTGATAGTGCAAGTGTATTCAATTCCAAGGCGTTTGTTATGGACTTTAAGTTTATTGAACGTAAAATTTGTGATCACGTGGAATGCGATCGGTCGCATGTGATATTATGGTGTTTTGTGCAACGCCAGCTGGTTCCAAGAACACTGAAAATAAAAAACCCAGAAATATGATATATTTTTTGTACGAAAACTTGTTAAGTCTTCGTTTTTCGATTTTTATCTGATGTTGAATATATTCTGTTTCGTAAAGGCGGTAAAGCTACTACTTTATCTTTTAATAATCTTTGTACATAGTTCGTCGGAAATATTTATCCACAGAAATTGGTGATTATAGGAAAAGACGAACGTGAGAAATGTGCTTATAACATGACTCATATTTTTATTGGAAGCAAGTCTTCGTTGTTTTTCATGACGAATCTAAACGTAATAGGTAATATCACGCCCGTTCATGTGAGTTGATTGTATCACTTCCTCAGCGATCACATCCCACAGCTGGTGGCAATTTGCGAAAAGTGAAAGAAAGTTGGTAGAATTCTATAGGTTTGTAAAGACGTAAAATAGTAGTTCTGCTTGTGAGAGGTTATCCGTAGATATACTAACGTAAAAACTTTAAGGAATAGAAGGACGTAAAAAAGAAACTGGCCTAAAGTGGTTGTGCATAAAATTTTAAAAAATTAAACAGTACGAAATAATATATGACCTGTAAGATAAGCCAACTACTTTATAATTTCTTGTGAGTATCACTGAATCAAATAATTAACAATGAATCGGAAAATTCTCTAAATTATAATTGATCTGCAGGCTTCAATTTGGCGTTAAATAATGCAGGTTGGCGTAAACCATGCACGCAATTTTTAAATTGTAATATACAAATTGCTATATACTCCATACAAAAAAAATAAATATATTCAATCTTTACAAAAGTATTCATTATAAATCCTACTTTTTTTATTTCTAATATTAAGAAATGGATACTTATCATATCGTAATTATCTTTATTGCTGCAATTGACATAATTGTCTGTCACCTTTATAATATTATCATATGCAAGAATTTATTATGAAAAACGTATATTTATATACAGGCAATGCCAACTCCATTATTTTAGGAAAAATTTTACTAATTGGACAAGTGGAAATGAAAAAATTGATAACTTTATTCAAAAAAAAACAAATAGAAATTAAAGACATACGGGATATTGTATTTGAGTGGATTCCATACAATCAGTTTACTAACATTAAGGAAATGAATGAAGATAGTCTTTCAGCAATATGGATGGACGGATCATTATATTGGGAAACTAGGAATAAAAATTATACAAGAAAATCAAATGTTGGGGTAGTTTTGGAATATTCACGTAATATACAAAGTATTGATGAATTTCTAAACGAAGTATGAAATTTTCTCTATCATATAAATTAATGTAAATCTTTTTACCATAATAATAATCTTTTTTATTATATTATATAGGTTAAACAATCCTTAAATATCAAAAATAAAAATATATACGGAATATCTCAAATCCAAATACAATGGATTATATTATAGTTTTTCAAGATTTATACTGTAAAAAATGTAATAAAAAATATTCAAATATATACCATAAATGGTGCAAAAAATGCCCAATAGATTATTTAAAAGAAAATTTTACAAAGTGGACTAGTAAAAATAAAAAGATTGATGATTTTATTCAAAAAATGCAACTAAAAATCAGTGATTACGATGATAAAATATTTGAATGGATATCATACAATCAGTTTATTAACATTAAAGAATTGAATAAAGATTACCTTTTTACATTATATTCAGTAAAATGGAAAAATGGTCCTTTATATTGGGATACTTGGAATAAAAAATGTGTAAGAAGATCAGATATAGAAATTATTTTAAAATATCCACATAAACAAAGTATTGGTGAATTTTTAAATGAGGTATGTAATTTATACACAAAATTAATGTGTGTTTTTTTAATATTAATTTATTTATTTATATATATAATAGGTCAAAGAACATTCAATTAATTTTGATGTATTTGGAATATCTCAAAACCCAGATACAGGGAAATATATAATAGCTTTTCAAGAAAAACTAGATAAAAAATATTGTATAAAATGTAGTAAAGTTTATATGAATGTAGATAAAAAATGGTGTAAACAATGTTCAATAATTTATTTATGGGAAAATTTTACTAACTGGACTAGTGAAAATGAAAAAATTGATAACTTTATTCAAGAAAAGCAAATAGAAATTAATTACTCATGGAATAATGTTTTTGAGTGGATTCCATACAATCAGTTTACTAACATTAAAGAAAAAAATGAAGATAGTCTTTCAGCAACATGGATAGACGGACCATTATATTGGGAAACTTGGAATAAAAAATATATAAGAAGATCAGATGTTGAAGTTATTTTAAAATATTCACATAATATACAACGTATTGATGAATTTCTAAACAAAGTATGAAATTTCTCTATCATATAAATTAATTTAAATCTTTTTTTATCATAATAATAATCCATTTTATTATATAGATTGAACAATCCTTAAGTACTAAAAATAATATGATGTACGGAATGTCACAAGATCCAAATACAAATTATTATATCATAGTTATTCAAGACATACATTGCGAAAAATGTAACAAAGATTATACAAATATATCTTATAAATGGTGTAAGACGTGTCAAATCAAAGATTTACTTAATTGGACCAGTGGAAATGAAAAAATTGATAATTTTATTCAAGAAAAACAGATAGAAATTAATGACCCGTCGGAAATTGTATTTGAGTGGATACCATACAATCAGATTAATAATATTAAAGAAGTAAACAATAATAAATTTTCTACGGTATATTCAGCAAAATGGATGGATGGCCCATTATTTTGGGATATTAGAAAAAAAAATATATAAGAGGATCAGATAAAGAACTTGCTCTAAAATATTTACATAATTTACAAAATATTGAAGAATTTTTAAACAAAGTATGAAATTTCTTTATAATTTAATTTAAATCTTTTTACCCTAATAATGATAATCTTATTTATATATAGGTTAAACAATCCTTAATTATTAAAAATAATATGATATACGGAATATCACAAGATCCAAATACAAAAGATTATCTTATGGCTTTTCAAGATGTATATTGCGAAAAATGTAACGAAAAATATACAAATATATCTTATAGATGGTGTAAAACATGTCAAATTAAAGATTTATTTAAAAGGACAAGCGGAAATAAAAAAATCGATAATTTTATTCGAAAAATGCGGATGGAAATCAATGATCCATTGGATTTTATATTTGAGTGGATACCATACAACCAGTTTAATGACATTAAAGAAGTAAGTAAAAATAAATTTTCTAAGGTATATTCAGCAAAATGGTTAGATGGCCCATTATATTGGGGAATCATTTGGAACAACAAGAAATATATCAGAGAATCAGATAAAGAAGTTGTTTTAAAATGTTCATATAATTTACAAAATATTGATGAGTTTCTAAACAAGGTACTTACTTCCTCTATAAATTAAATTCAAATTTTTTTATCAATATAACATAATTTTTTTTATTATAGGTTAAGCAATCATTAATTAATAGAAATGAAAAAATATATGGAATATCTCAAAATCCAATTACAAGAGAATACATTATAGTTTCTAATGATGTATATTACATGACAAAAAATCGGATAAGTGGAAATGAAAAGATTGATAATTTAATTCAAGAAATGAAATCAAAAATCAATGAATCCTATGATATTATATTTGGCTGGATACCATACAGTCAGTTTTACAATATTAAAAAAATAGGTAAAGGTGGTTTTGCTACGGTATATGCAGCTATATGGAAAGATGGACCGTCATATTATGATTCAGATAAAAAGCGGGCGAATAAAAAAGTTGCTTTAAAATGTTTATATAACTCACTAAATATTACTAACGAATTTTTAAATGAGGTATAGTAATTTACTTTATAAATTTTAATTTATTATTTTTACATTAATAATATTTTTGTTTATGGCTTAACAGATCAAAAAATATTCGGTAAATAATTATGGTAACAATATTCTTAGAATATATGGATTATCTCAAAATCCGGATACTAAAGAATATATTATGGTCCTTGAATATGCAGAAGGTGGAAACTTTAATAATTGGATGAGCAGAAATTACAGAAATTTTTCTTGGTTGTATAAAATAAATACATTATATAATATTAGTAATGGACTTAAAGAGATTCATCAAAAAAAGATAGTTCATCGTGATTTACATACAGGAAATATACTATTTTTTATTAATAACATAAGCATGTTTGATTGTAATATGTTGTCTATTTCAGATATGGGATTATGTGGAGAAGTTGATAATATAGATAAAACAAAAATTTATGGGACTATGCCTTATGTAGCTCCTGAAGTGTTAAGGGGAAAGCCTTATACTCAAGCGGCAGAGTTTTGGTATGATTATGTACTTTACAGCAACTGGAAGACAGCCTTTTGCTAATTGTTCACATGATTCGCTTTTGGTATTAGACATTTGTAATGGAATTAGGCCTGAAGTCGATGAACTAGAAGCACCAAAATAT